AAATAAGTATGTATGCGAAATCGCAAAAACTTCGTCTATTTTCACAAAATGTGGATTTTACTGTATATTAACTGTCGCAAAAATAACATAGATATATATATATATAAGTATAAATATATATAACAAGCATAAGGTACATTTAGAGAAATTTGTAAACAAAAATTGTGCAATATTAAAAATTTTTCTACTTTTAAGTATGCATACAATACATACATATACATTCACATTTTTTCCATTTTCTTTTAAATTCTTTTTACTGAAAATTATTTTTTGTTATTTTCGAAATTTCTTGTTTCTCTCACATAAATATTATGTTACATATTATTATGCATGTTTGTTAGTAAGTACCTTCTCTTTCGAATAGAAAGGGACTTAACTACAAAAACTTTCTTATATCGTCTGCGTCTCATACTATTCAATTAAAAATTTGCAAAAAATTAAAAAAGAAAAAAACAATTTAACTACACCTATAAACATAAAATGTAACTATAGGGAAATTTTTACACGTCGTACAAAATATAATCAAAAACACAGTAAAAAAAAAAATAATAATAATAATTTTCTATGAAAGTAAAACACCTGGAGAGAAAAATGTTACACAACACTTATCACAATAAACTGAGCGAAAAAGCTGGAAGTCAAATAAGTATAATACCTTAATTAAAATGTCACACTTATAGCGAAAAGAACAGTTAGTATATAAGTACTGCTATAAGTAGTACTTTATTTACTAAATACTTTTACATACACTTTCAAGTAATCATAACATTTTGCTCTTCTTTTTCAAATTTCTAAGTGTAATCTTACGCAAAATTTACTTTTTACGCAAAGAAAAATTAATATAAAAAATATTTGTTTGCAATTTCTCTGCTTTCTAAATTTTTTTAACTTGTAAGATGCAAGAAATGTTTTTAATTTAATTTTAAGTTTTATAATTTAAATTTAATATGAATAAAGTAGTATGAGTTCTTAAACAAACTAAGTAACAATAAAAAATGGCCGCTTAACTTTTCCATGTCAACTTTTTTTTTTCTTCAATATAAAATGTTGCTTTTCAAGTTTGTTTTTACCAAAAAAAAAAAATTTTTTTTTTTGTTATACTTATTTAATAATAATAAAAAAAAACTATTTCACTTTTTATTATCTACTCCTAAGTATTATTTTTTGGAAGATTTTTGGTATTACGTATTTATTTTTGGTTTTTTATTATAAACTTGAAAATTATTAGCATAAATATTTTAGAAAGCGGAATAATAATTTGTGTTTTTTCAACTGTTTGATTGAATAAATAAAAATGTTTTAAGAAAAATAAGTACAACAGAACAATGAAACGAAAATCCAAAAAAAAAAATTTTATTTGAAAATTTTGAAAAAATTTAGGTACTGAGGTAAGCTTTTGCATTAATTTTTAAAAAAATATTGCAAAATAGCGTAAGTCCTAACCAAATATTTAGTATTACTTACTAATAAAATAAAATTCGCTATTTACTCAAGTATAATCAATATTTATACTGAGTAAATAAATCAGAATTTAAAATTCAAATTATGCTCCATTGCCGTACTCTACTGCCGTATTCTACTTACAAAATTCACTTCCCTTGTATCCTGCATGTCAGATACCCTACTTATGTAGGACGTAAAAGTAAGGACTTAAATGTTACATTTAACTAAATTATGTGTATTTATATATGTACCTATGCAACGTCACAATAACCAAAAAAAAAAAAAGACAAAAAACCTTTAAAAGGTTTCCTTGATTTTTTCACCTCTAAAAATAAAACAAAGAAAGTAAAGAAAAAAAAACCTACTTATTATAAACAAAAACAAAACTTGACACATAAAATTAAGGTAAAGAAAGATGAAAAACACAAAAATAAGAATATTCTTGTTGGAATTTACTGTTATATTTTTAGGTATATGTATATGTACAAACATACATAAAATTTACAAGATAGCATAAAAAAAAGCATACTTAGCTTAATAACTAAGTGCATTATACTATATAGAATATGTAACATAAGTATATTCACATTATATATATATATATATGCGTAAGTATATGCATATGAATTATGTAGGTACATACATACTTAAGAGTCCATACAAAATTTTGTAACCATGTTAACAATTTTCTTATGTTTACATCACATAATCTACACAATTTCTATACAATTATGCGCAGATATACTTACATAATTGTATGTAAGTATATTTTATTGTAACATATTTTTTTTTTTCGGTTTTAAAGCAATGCAAGTACTTACGTGGGTAGGTATATCTTAGATCTCGGGACAAATATATTATACTTGAGTATATTATACATTTGTATACAAATTTTTACATGTAAACATACACAATTTTTACTTGCATAAGTGCAGAAGCACTTATAAATAGATACATAAGTATGTTTAGGTGTTTTTATCACAAAATAATATTAGGGGAAAAAATATTATAAACAGCAACTACATCAATAAACTTAAATATAAATTTATTAAGTAAGTAAGTATGTAGTATAATATGAACGTAATATGAATTGAGAGCATATCGGAGAAGAACACAACATATGGTTAAAGAGACCGTATGTGACTTTTACAAAAAAAAAAAAACAAATAAGAAAACAAGAAAAAAAAAATATAAATTTATGTAAGTAGGGTTGGTTCACAATTTAATGTTCCTGATTTTTAGTTTTTTTTTTTTAAAAATATAAAAGTGCAATAACCTTGAGGATAAAAAGGACATTAACTTATTTTTCCATAAAATTGTTTATAAAAAAAACTTCGTATAAATATAAGTAGGTAGATGTGTACCCTTTATACACACATACATAATTTTAGATTAAAATGGTTACAGTTTCAACTTGTCTGGCTTTTTTTTTTTCATAACAACTTTGATTTTTCACAGTAACTATAAGTAATAATTTTGTAACATTGTATGTTGCACTTACTTATACTATGTACTTATGTTAATGACAAGTATAAACTAAATGATTCAGCTTATATCAAATGACGAATCAAGTGAAATTTTAAAGCCGATAAAGTAATTAAGTAGGTTTTTAACTTCAAAAAATATGCACAACTACAAGAAATGCTTAAAAGCAAATGCCGTTTACATACTTAAATGATCATATGAAAATTGTACATGTCATAATATAAGATTTAAATTTATACTCAGTGCAGGAACATATTGGTTCACAAAAGTTGTTCTGGTTAAAAATTTGCTCTGCTTGAATGTTTTCTATAAAATATTAGTACGTAGGTAGGTAGGTACCTTCTTATGAATACTTAAGCAATTAAAGTTATCAAAAAAAAAAATTTAGAGTGTTGAAAGGTTGATAACCGAACAAATTTCAGGTGTGCCTACCACCCAAATTGTTTTATAAAATTAGACGAAATTTGATATTTATTTTTTTTAAATCAAAATTTTTATATGCAAAAAATTTTTGTTAATAAATTTTTTCATTTTCTTGAAATTCTGTTGAATAATTCTAGCATTTTTTTAAGTAAATTATAACTAAGAGCAGACATAGGCAGGTATTTATATAATAATTTGATAGGTCCACATAATTTTTTAAGTTATGCATTTTGTTGACCAGCTTTTCTAAATTTACTTTCTCCCACATTACTCGATTTTTAGGTTTTTCATCAATTTTATAGTTTTTTTTTAATAAGTTTATGATTTTGCTTTTATTACTATTTTATAAATGATTAAGTAAATAAATAAATTTGATCAGTTTTCTTCCATTTTTAAATTACAAATTTTTTACAGACAACTTAAAAATCAATGTTAAGTTTAAAAAATTTTCATAAATTGGTTCTGTATTTGAATTGATAAGCAACACTTTTGTATTTTGAAAGTCAGTGTCTTTAATTATTTTATCAATGAATTGATGAAATTTCATTATTTATTACAAATTCAAGGGTAATGAAAAAAAAAGGACATAAGTAAAGCTATTAGAAAACAATAGAGAGCCATGGGGAGGTTGTGTTCCTAAGGGGGTTAAAGAAAAAAATTTATCAGAAAAAGTAAAAATAGGAGAAACAAAAAAATTACCAATTTTATAATTAATGCAATTTGTAGGTGGGTATCCATACAAGACCCTACGGAATATTTCGAAATACGGGTAGATAAACTCTTAATTTGCACCCCTATCTAGGTACCTTAAATAAAAAACTACTTAGTTTGAAAAACTTTTTTTTGAATTTCTTACAATGGGAACCTTTTTATTTAATCTTTTTTATTATCTTCCCCTCCTACCAAAAAACTTTTCATTTTTCTCATAATATTATGAAATGGATATTATGAACTCTACGTTTATAATTCACATAGATAAAATTAAACTAAAGAAACAATAATATAAGCAATAAAAAATTAAATATAAAATTTATATTCAAGTAAAAAAAAATCACTAAGCAACTAAAATTACTTTTTTTACATTTTGTATAGGAGGTGGTATCCAATTTCTGAATATAATCAAATGTGCATGCACAATTTACATATACATACGTACATACACCTATGTATTCACAATCACTGACGTATGCCACTTTTAAAGCGCTTTCTATTTATTAACATCAAAATTTTTAGAGAATATTATTCTTATATTATTAAAAATTTAATAATTATTTTATATTGAAATTCTATTATTCATTAAAATTATTAATTTGGATAAAATACCACGTAATTTTCAACTAGAAATTTTCAAATTAAAATTGAAAAAAAAAATGAATTCACAATAAAAACAAATAAAAGAGTAGAAAAATGTATTTGGGTTAGGGCTACACAATATTGACTTATTGAGACAAAACATTGCATTGCAAGGTTGACATTTTTTCTGCTTAAATTGGAAAAAAAAAATAAATAGTAAATCTTTCAATTATAATTGTAAACTCTTCTTAAACACGTAATTTATCCTAAAAAAATGTCATTAACCTATTAAAATTATAAAATAAAATTGTGAATATTTTTCTTTTTCTCATTTTTTTTTTGTATTATTTTTTTACCTTTGGTTTGTTGAGCCATTTTCGAAAAGTATCCATTTCTTTTCCACACAACTACAATGTATATTCGAGTATGTGTGATTATGAAAAAAAAAACTACACACTCAGCTCTGCTGATTTCTTTTTTTCTTTTTTTTTTTCTTCAAAATTTTTCTTATTAAAATATAAAAAAATTATTTGTTAAAAAACCATTAATATCATATTTTTAAAATTAAAGCAAATACGCTACTATTGAAACACTTTACGAATATGAAAAACAAGTTTTATTTATAATTAAAAAAAAAATTTTTTTTCCTTTTTAATCAAAGAGATAACATCGTTTCGCACTGAATAGAGTAAACAAACACACACAACGACAATATCTTCTTTACAATATAAATTTAGTTTTTACTTCTTTTTTTTTTATTTTCCCTTTATTTAATTTGTAATTACTACACTAGTACCAAAAAAATATTTAATAATATAAAAAAGACCTTATTATTTTGCATTAAAATATGACTATTTAATATTTTAAATATTATAAAAAAAAAAAATAAATTCAACGCGTTCGCAACTACACAATACTTTACGCCACGAAGTTTAAAAAGACAATACAAAAAAATAATCAAAAAGATAATTAGATTGTAGTGGAAACTACAATGACATTAATGACATTATAACAATTGTACTTGAATTTGATGAAAAGTAACTGGTAAAAGTAATCGTTAAGTTTGAGGTTGTCTGATTTAATAAACAAAAAAGCGCTATTTTAGTTTCTGACGCAGCGCAATTGCCAAAATATAAAATAAATTTTTTTAATAAATATGTACATAATATTTTACGTATGTTGTATATTTTTAATTCAATACAGAAATCCTTTTTGTATGAATTTTTTGAAAAATATTTTCCAATTCAATTAAAAAATATGCAATTACAATTTTTGCGTCAGACGAATGCTCGCTTTCTTTACTCTTGAAGGAAATTTTTGAGTGAAAATGCCACTTTCAATGCTTTTGCTGGAAGATTTTTCTAATTAAAACAGTACTTGACGTTTCTTAAAAATATATTAAGTTAAAATCAGATTGGTGAAACTTTCCTAGAAGATTTTAACATGAAAAATAATTTCGTAATAATTTTTTTTACGATAAGAGTGTAAGCTTGTTCAAGAATGGAATTTGGTCCATTAAATTCTCATTAAGCAAATTTGTATATTTTTCAAAATTTACACAGAAATATAATTAATTTAGTTAAAATAATAAAAATAATAATTAATTATTTTATAATTATTTAAATGATATGGCTAAGATTTATTTTGTACACGAAAAGTAATTACATAGTTACTTTCAATTGAGAACCAATAATATTTTGGTTTAGCAATCAATTACCAGAAAACAAAGCATTAAAAATAAATTTTAATCATTTGGGTATTATACATATTTATTGGGTAATAATATTTAAATTGTCAAAAATGGTTAAATTAGTATCTCGCGAGTGTTTACTGGGCTGATATTAGTGCCATATTTTTTATTAAAATAAATTGAAAAAATATGTTTTAGGATATACTACGGGTTGTTAACTTTGATAATAAATTATTATAATTGTGGTGTATGTCTTTGATAAATTAAGTTTGCTTTGTAAGAATTTCCCATTAAAGGGAAAATATTTTTTGTTTTTAAATTATACTGTGGACACACAACAGAACTGAGTTATTTAAACATTTTTCGCTATTATGCTAATAGATAGAGCTAAAATCGCTTAAATACATAACATTGGCTCATGCAAAATTTAAAAAAAAGGAAACATTTTTTTATTACTGTTTTTTTATATTTACAAAAATAAATTTTAAATATGTACATATGTACTATAAAGTTAGAATATACTTTAAAAAGTATAAACTTACGGTTTCGTTGCCATTATTTTATGAAGAGAAATTTAGATTTTAAGAAATGTACGAATTGATAAATTAAAAAAAAATTGCCATACATTGTACGTATTATACCACAAAATATAATAGAATTCTAATAAAGAACCTTAACTTTGAAATTGTAATAATAGGGTATTATAACAAAAATTCAGCAATTACCGTGAAAATTTCTACATCTTGCAAGTATGAAAATAAGAAACAGAAATTATTATGACTTTTCGTTCACTTTTAATAATTTATTTTCTTCAGATATTCTTAATTCGCGTATATATATTTTTTTCTTTTTCACTCCTAGGGGGCGCATAGGGCTAGTGCATGACATCATAGATAGTCATGCCCCAGTTTCATTGCATCATAGAGACTAGCCTGCCGTAGAATTCTCGTATATGATTTATATAAAATCTATTTGTGAATTAAATCGGAGAAGAGTTACAGATATTGAACATATTTTTAATGAAAATCTAAATAGGAATGGCCCAAGAATAGAATATGATATGGCCCTGATTAAGGTAAGCAAGTTGTTATTAAATTAATAGTTATCAAATAACTTTTAAGTACATTTCGAAATTTGATATACAATTCCTTGAAAGTTTTGTAATATAAATACATAATATAAAATTATTAACAAATTAAAATCCTACAATAGTTCCAGCCTATACATAAATTATTTTAATTGAAATTAGCAAACCCTAATAAACACTTGTTAGCGAACCCCACACACTTATTTTTTGAATATATTTGCAATAAAACTACTTACTAGCGTCAATGTTATTATTATTGAATTAGCCTATTTAGCTGAAATTTTATGTATGTACATATGTATGTACATATCATGTACTTTATACAAACATATTGCGCCTACATATAATATTACTTTCATTTCCGATCCTAGTAATAAGACGCATTTATTTAAATTTCATTTCAATATTAAACATTATGGTTTTATAACAGTATATTAAATATTGGTTCAATGTACATACGTCATGTGTATGTATGTATATACACCGACACCCTTTATCCTTGAATTTTACATATTCTCCCACGTCATTTCAACCCTTTCTTTTTCAAATATCTTTTTCTATCTTTATTTTAACATACTGTGTACGTTACATATCATTCTAAGAGTTAACTTTAGGTATAGCTATTTAAATCAATTGAATTTACTTTCTTGAAAGTTATAATCATATCGTCTACATATAAAGTACCTTCTTTTCTATACAAACGCATTTAAATGTTATGTTTACTTAAAAGTTAATTCATAACATTATTCTATTAGTATATTCATGCTTTTAAGTTAAAATAATGTGCGATAAGAGTATAACAGTTTTTTTATAATATTGAAAACAAATTTTTACCAAGTTGCAATTTATTACGAAAATAGAAATTTTTTTTCCAGTGACATTGTTTAAACCATTCTCATTGCATAAGCAAGGCGAAAGTACGTATATACGGCGAAAAATAACTTCATATTTAAATATTTTTTGTAAAAGTCTTTGTTCTTGTATAAATCTAACAAGATTTTAATTTCATAATATCTATTTTTTAGCTGGTTTCTAATTCTTTCAAAGCTCTGATTTCAGCTTCGGAATTTCGTTCTTTTTCAGTAGCTATTTTTGCAACTCTAATAGCTTTTTGTTAAGTTTCAATTTATCTTATAGCAGCTTCCTTTTTGGATAGTCTACCTTAATGATATGCTCTATAAACTACTCCAAAAGCTACGAAACTTTATCGGCCGAGTTTGATTAAAGGTCATACTTTAACTGGTGGTGGTAGAGACATTTTCCAACTTCAAATTACTTTCTAGAAATGCAAGTAAATTTTGAAAAAGATCCTTTGCTCGTGGAAAATTTAAAAGTTTCTTTGTATGAAGCTTTTATTTACCAGATATTTTTCAATTTAATTCGTTAGGAGTAAGTCTGTTACGAGATTCAATACTTTTCATGAAATTAGCATAATTAGCAGTTTAACTTTCAAAATTGATTTCGGCTTATAAAAAAATCATTCGAATCCATTTAGGATGATTGTTCTGGGTGATCATATATAAAAATTTAAGCTATAATTGATATATGATAGCAAATGTTTCTTAAATTCTAGACATAAATTTAAAAATCTTATTTTGTTTCAAATTCGATTTTGAAAATTTGATTATTGGTCACTTTTTAATTCTGACAAAATTAATTGCAATTTTAAAATTATACAAGTATATAGGGTATTGAGATGGTGTTGAACCTCATTATTAGTAGGGTAGATCAAATATCGGACGACAAGGCGCCTGTAGCACCACCCCCGGGGACATATTTCTTCAACAAAGTCTGCTTTAAGAGGAAACTAAAATCAAAATTTAATAACTAAGTGTTAAAATTTTATTTGATTAAATTGAATTCCTTTATCTTTTTTTCATATTATTTTACTCTTTTATTTTATTTTTCCATATTATTTAAATATCATATACCACACACTTTTAAACACACTTGCGTTTCACTAATTCTATGCTTTAGAACTTTTTATTTTTTTAAACAAAAGGAAATTTTTTTTGTTTTTACTTTTTAACAATTTTGAATCAAAATTTAATGAATTAGATTGTACTTGGTGTATGTGCTCCAAGCTATGAATATTGTTAGAAGATGCTATATGATAGCGAGTACTCTATATGATTACTTTTATCCCAGTATATATATACATATATATAATGTATAGGATTTACAACATGCACTGATTTTTCATATATAAAGAACCTGTTGAACAGGCTAATCTCATAGTCAATCTTTTTCAATCACAAGGATAAGACCTAATATCAAAAAAAGGAAGATAAAATATTAAGTTGATTATAAAGAATTAAATTTTAATCAGTAAAAATAATTTTTTAATAAAATCAAGGTGATTTCATTGTTCAGTACAAGTGTTTAGTAATTTTATAAAAGTATAAATTTAATAATTCATAATATTGAAGAAAAAGTTTTGAAAGTGGTGTGCTATATTTAGTGCACATAATAAAATAAGGGAATTTATTTTACAATTAAACAAAATGTTGTGATTTCAGAGAAAAATGTTTGAAAGAGATGTTTGAAAAATCATTTTTCAAAAAAATTAAATTTCGACTTGATTTTCGAAAAAAATATTGTTTATTTTTTTTACACTTTTAATCGTATATCCTGTGATTAATCAATAAAATTTCAAAAAATTTAAATTAAATGTAATTGGCGTAATATAAATTAAATTGTACCACAATTTCGAACTTGAAATATAAATCAGAATGCCAAATTCTATTCGAACCCATTTTGTAATCACAGATTTCAAAATAAAATTATTTCGAACTCGCATCAGAGTTATACGATTGGAAATTTAATAATTTAATCTGAATTTTTGCAAACATTCCAAATAAACGTAGAACGATGTAAAATAGACCCCTTTAATCTCTTAATTTAGAATATGTTTAATACTCTTAAACATGTATGAAACCTATAATATAGAATTAATTGAACTAGTTCATACATTTTGTTTGATTTGAAGGGAAACAGAATTTCATTACAAATTTATTAATCAAACATTTCATTTGGATATTTTTGGTTCGATAGTGAAAAATTAATAATTTTAATAATATATTCTTGATTATAATTTCAGATAATAAACATTTAATCCAACGTTGGATCACATTTAATTTAAAAAAAAAAAAAAAATTAAATTTAATAAAATTTTTTAAAAACATGGCAAAAATGATTATTGTACCATTGTTATTACTTAGTATAGCAATAACATGTATGGGTCAAACATTTCAATATTCTCGCGGTTGGACTAATGGTAAACGTAGCAATACACATGATGGCACTTTCCAGGATCTAATTGAAATAGAAACTGAAAAAAAATTAGAAAAGTAAGTATATGAATTTCTTAATTTTCAAATAATTCAAAATTATTTTAAATTATTTTAATTCCTAATTACAATTTATATAATTTTTTTAACAGATGCTTATATAGTTTACAAAGATTTATAAGGAATTCATATTTAAAACCATCACAATTGATTATGAATAATAATAAATTTCAAAATGGACATCATCAATCTGGTGAAATCATAGATGATTTAATTGTACCAGATAATGTAGATTTTAATAAACATTAAATAAAAAAAAAAAAATAATTTTTATTAATTAATTTTTTTAATAATTTTTGTTTATATATTTGCTTTTTATATAACATAAAAATATGAAAGAATTAAATTGAAAATGGGCTAATTTCTTGCGAATAAAACAAATATTTTATATAAACTGTTATACTTTATGTATATATTATATATTTATACGGCTGGATATATATAATAATAATATATATTAAAAATATATAGTTATATATAAAAATTATGTTTTATTATCAATAAAATTTAGCTCATCTGTTTCAGTTTCTTACTTAAATAAATTATATGTATGATATTAATGCTAATAACAATAATATTAAGGGGAAAAGAATGAAAATTTCATAAAAGTTCTTAAATATTCTGAAAATAATATTTAAATATAAAATTAAAAAAATATTATATAAAATGAGGAAAAATAAAAATAATTTTAATTAAAAAATAATATTATGAAATGCAAAGGAATTTATATATTATGTAAAACTACAATTATAAAAAAAATATAAAAAAAAATAAAGAAGAAATTAAAAAATTCAAAAATTTAATAAATGTTGTTATATACTTATAATTATTGCAAGAGAAAATAAAAAAAAAAATGTAAATCTAAAATTTTATTATTTAATTATTGTTTCTAATATATTATAAATGCCTTTAATTTTAAGGACATAAGAGAATAAAATTAAGGATGAAAACGGTAATTGAAATCTAGTCGAAGGGAAACTAAAAAAATTTCAGGATATCAGGATTTCAGGTAATCTCAGGATATTAATAGAAATTTTTGAAAACTGACTAATTTTAAGAAGATGAGTTGAGATCCTTATTGAAAAAATGTAAATTTTTGGTCGAATTTCGAGATTTGAACTCCTTTTCAAATCAAAAATTAATTTTAATAAATGTTTTAATAAAGTACTCGTAATTTCATATGGATTCTAGCTTTAAATTATAAATAAAAATTATAACAAAGTTATTCCTCTATAAAAGGCAAAATTCAAATTAAAATTATAAAATAAGTTTCTTAATAAATTACGAAATTTCCTTATATAATTTTTTTTATATTTGTTTGAAGATATAAATTAGAAACTGTATTAATTTAATACTCACAATGTAGGGTAACTTTTATGTAGTTGACTATATATGCGGCAGCTCGGATTAGTCTCAAATTAATTAATAGCTTACAGTTTTCAGTTACGAACAGTTTGCAATAAATTCTTGGTTTTTGGGTTTTCTCTACTTATCTACTCTGTAAGTTTCAATCCACTTCTAAAATATAAAAGCAAGAATGTTATTGTAGTAAACCTTATTTTACACAAAAGTGCACGCACTCATGCCAATTTTAATATTAGCATAAATTTTTTTTTAAAATTTTCAAAATCATATGGCTTTGTTTGGCAAAAAATTTTTTTGTACTATTTCTCTAAAGCTCACTTTTCATGTATTTGAAAATTATTCAATTAAATTTTTAATTCCTATGTTATTTTTAAAAATTTTATTAACTAATATCGTTAATATATTAAAATGTGTGTATGTATTCATATTTAAACATAATATTACAGAGAAGCTTTAATAAATTCTCTTAAATAAGTGATCCTATATTAAAATCAAATTATTTAGTTGTATACATAAGGTTTCAAACCTGTATTCGTTATATGTTACAAAATACGAATGAAAATCCTTAAAGATATCTCATATACACAAGGATATCATAAATAAAAATAAAATATTCATAATAAAAACAAATAAAATGAAAAATGAAAAACAAAACAGGATCAAAATAAGCAAATTAAATTGCTTTCTTTGGTCATTCATTAATAATTCAATAAGATGACTATTTTCCAAAAAAGAAAAGAAAAACAAAAACAAAAATCTTTAAAATGAAAGAAAATGTAAGAAAACTGTCGAATAACGATTTTTCCATCAAGAATGAAATTTTTTATATTTTTCTTTTTTTAACAAAAAATCAACAATTTTCATTTGTTAAACGTTTGAAATCAAATAATTTTCACAGAAAGAGTAAATTCTGCTTTCATTTGTAATACCAAAAAATTTTGCTGTCCTTTTGACTTCATTTAGTAACTCACATAGTTGGCTTTCTTTACCCCACATTTGTCTTTGATCACACATAATTTTTCCACATTTGTCTTTGATCTTACTCATTTTAATGTCTAAATTTTGAAGAATACCTAAATATAACAATGTTAAGATTGTTATTTGGAAAATCAAAAAATTTTTAAGCCAGTTTTTTAAGTCAAATTTTTGTAATTTTGTCAATAACTTAAAGTAAATACTAGGAATCTATTTGTAATAATTGCCTCCTTAGTACTTTCTTCAGAATGGTAGAAAATAGATAGGATTATTCAGGAATTCATCTATATAACTTAAGTAATATAGTCGGACTTGTATGGCAGCAACTCTGGCAGAAGCAAAACTCCTTTGCTAGCAAAACAAAATTGGTTTGATGGAAATGACATGCTTATAAACATGTCGGTTACAAGCAAAAATTTTTTGTAAATACAAATAAATTGATCGTATTTAAGCCTTTCTTCTTGAGAAAAGGACCTCAATAAGCAATAAAAAAAAAAATATGGTAAAAAATTTTTCTAATTTCATCTAAAACTCAGTTCCGACTTTACATACAGCAATAAAAATCGTGCAACTTTCAACGTGCCTTTTTGTGTGCGACAGAATCCTAAAGACGTTTGACTAACTACAAATTTTCTTTCTTATAAAAATCATGTTTTTTTAAGTGCCCTCTAAAATAAAACGTAAAATTCAATTGTTTTTAATTTTTCTTATTTTTTGTTATTACACAAAAAAATAATGGAGAAAAACAAAACATTTTTTTAAGGTGTAATAAAGGACATTAGAGATTTTGTTATTAATTCAATGGTATAAAGAAAAAAGTTTGGTGCTCGACAAAATAAGTATTTTTGAGAAAATAGTCAAAAATTTGCTTTAAAAATTATACAATGAAAAAACAAAGTTGTATAAGGTTAGATTATAAGATCACGATTGGTTGAACTGCATTTAACAATTGACAAGACTGTTATTATAGGCCAAGACTGGTTGTTGGTGCTATATTTGATAATTTTTTCAGCGGCGACTGGCATTCAGGTATTTTTATATAAGAGGAAGTTAATTAGGTTAATTATGTTCTAACTCTAAATTGATTACCAATGTTACTGTTGCTTTTTTTCATTATTATTAAACAAGTATACACTTTGAACTGGAGTGCAAAGCTCAAACTGTTCATATTATAAAAAATGTCAATTTTTATGTGACAGGAGGTGGCATTGACTGTCATGTCAATTGTTTGTGCCACTTTCTGGTAATGTCCTATAACTCTTAATAAATAATTTCAAAACTGTACACTCTTAAGTCACAAAGTTCTTCGCGGGATTTCTTAAATTTTTAACCATTTTTTTAATTTTCCATATAAAGTTTTTTACAAAAATCCCAATTCGACTGTTATTATATATTTCGAAAATTATATGTTAAAAAAAAATCACAAAATGAAATGCTCAATTTGATTGCCTCAAAATTTTCTCATTTATTTTTTTATTTCACTTTATATTCTTAAGTAATTTTCCATTTTAATTTCAATTTCAAGACAATTTACTTTTATAATATTACACGTTTCTGCTTTATGTTACCGTGTATATTCCTTTGATTTGTTTTATATTTGTATTTAAAAAGCAGTGGTGTTAAGTTCATTGTTACTGTTGGAAGTCTATTGTAAGTAAAATTTAATTAGCGTTTATTAGTCGATTGAGTCAAAAATTCTAAAAAAATTTGTGGTATAAATTAATCAAATTGTTGAAAAGTGATTTTAGAGTTTAAAATCTTTTATAATTTTTGAAATTCTTAAATTTCATAAAATGGATCAAATACAGCTAAGATAATTTCAATAAGCATAGCCTACAAAAAAAAATATTTCACACATTTTGATAGATTTAGTCGGTTATATACGAAGAAATTTGATGAATGTAGATTGTAGATTGTAGATTCTAAGGGAACCGAGTGGGACAGGAGCATCCCCCCAAGCCACCGCAGCCATTTTTGACTTATTGTAGCCACCACTCTCCCGTCTATAATATCCCCGTCCCAATCATAAAGCCGGAGATATCCCTAAGGGAGTTGGACAACAGTTCCCGAACACTTAGGGACCCATGTCCAAGACAATTGCGGCGCCGAACAGCTAGTGCCGGACAGTCGCTGAGAATGTGCACGGCGGTCTCATCGCCACCTCCACAAAATCTGCACAGGGGGGAGCCCGACTTCCCCAGCCTATGCAGGTGGTACTTCACAGGGCAGTGCCCCGTGAAGAAATTCGCAATAGTGCGAACCCGGCTCCTGCTCATCCCCAGCAACTCCGCGGCGAATCCGCCGGAGCACGCCGGAAGAAACACTTTCGCATGACGGAACCCTTTCGTGTCCCGCCAGTGACGGCCGCATTCCGCCGCGAGTAGGCAGGCAAGCCTGGCCCCCACGGCGGAAGAAGGCAGACCGCAGAAAGGCAGCGGCTGCACAAAGGCAGCCCCAGATCCTCTCCGCGCCAACTCATCGGCAACTTCGTTGCCCGCATGACCACTATGGCCCGGCACCCAAATGAGCATCACTCTGTTCTCCGATGCCAATTTCCTAAGTGCAGCAAGGCAGCTCCAGACCAGCTTGGATGTAACCTGAGCTGAACGGAGTGCCAGCAGTGCAGCCCTGCTGTCTGAGAACACATAGATGGTGCGGTTTCTATACCCCCTTTCCAAATTGATTCTCAGACAGATCTCTATTGCATGTATTTCATCCTGGAACACTGTGCAATACGGGTCAAGGGTTGCATATATACGCGTGTCCGGGCGGACACCGTATACGCCCGAACCCACACCCGACTCCGTTTTGGACCCGCCCGCATACCACACGCTCGAACCCGACCTTAGTACCAGACCACCCCTGTCCCACGTCCATCGATCGGGAAACAGAACCCTGTACCTGTGGTCGAAGTTGTACCGCGGCAGACAGGTATCTGACATGGTTATTCTTAAAATCGGATCGCCCTCAATGAAGTCTCTGCGAGTTCTGTGGACCAACTTTAGCCCTGCCCCGTCCTCGCCAGAGAG